CTGACAGGAGGAGGAAGAATGTTTCCCAGCAGAGATGTGTTTCAAAAAGAAATGACCTAACTTTGCCTGGGTGAGCGATGGCGTTCCTGGAAGAGGAAAGAATGCACACCAGGGCATGCGGTGGGGGGACGGGCCCATAGCAACACGGGGCTGGAGTTCTGGGAGAGTGATGGGAAGTGAGGCTGCACTGAAGGGAGATGTTCATGAAGGATCCACTGTGCACACCTCTGAGCTCTGAGGGGCCACCCTGTCTCTCCAGCCTCTGCCTGCTTTCTGTGAGGAATAAGACAGGCAGGGGTAGGTTCCGATTTCAGGGTCTCAGTCTGACTTTCTTCTACAGAGTAAAGTTCTACCTAAAGTCTGGAATTGTCTTAGTATCTGACTCCGCCGTGCCTGGTACAGGGACTGGCAGCGATCCAATGGACATTCAGAGAATACCAGACAATGAGCTCACCCTTACAGCCCCACGCTTGGCAGGCCTCTAAAACTCATGTCCAGTCTGTGCTTTAATCTGCAAGAGGAATAAAATGGAATTGCAGCATTTTTGAGATAACTTAGGAAAACAAATACTCTCTTTTACTAAGAATTGTTTTCACAGCTACCCTTTCCTGGAAAGATGTTTCCAATGAATTCAAAACCCAAAATTATTCTCATCCTACCTCCCAGATCCTAAAAATAAGCGAAAGAGAGACAAATAAAACAGAAGCATAAAAATCGTTGACTCGGCTGGCACCGTGGCCACTTGGCTAATCCTCTGCCTGCGGTGCCAGCACCCCAGGTTCTAGTCCCGGTTGCTCCTCTTCCAGTCCAGTTCTCTGCTGTGGCCTAGCAGGGCAGTGGAGGATGGCCCAAGTGCTTGGGTCCCTGCACCCACATGGGATATCGGGAGGAAGTACCTGGCTCCTGGCTTCAGATCGGCAAAGCACTGCAGCGCTGGCCATAGCGGCCATTAGGGGAGTGAACCATCAGAAAGGAAGACCTTTCTCTCTGTCTCTCTCTCACTGTCTATAACTCTCTCTCTCTCTCTCTCTCTGTCTAACTCTGCCTATCAAAAAAATAAAAAAAAAATCGTTGACTCCTGATAGCCCAGTTTTGTAGTTCTCTTAGTTGCTTGTGCTCAATATCAACTGTAGGTTGGTGATTATGTTTAATGCCTCTTTGTGTGAAAATCATCAGAGAAGTGACTGAATGTTAGAGTTAGGTTTAGCCTGGAGCTGATTCTGGTCTGCCATGGTTGGGATGCGGTTTGAGTGTGCTGGAGGCGTGGACCGCAGTGTGGCGATGATGAGGTGAGACAGTGTTTAAAGAGGTGGATCCTTGTGGAAAGTGTAGGTCTCTGGGGCTGCAGGAACCATGAAGGTTCTGCAGACCAGGTTGTTAGGAAGAGAGCAAGTCTGGCCCCCGAATCCTACTTACTTCCTGTCTTTCTCCCCATGTGCTCTGGCCATGGGCGATGTTGTGATGTAATCAGGAGCTCCTCACCAGAGGCCAAGCCAGTGGTACTGCCAATCTTGGCGATTCAGCTTCTGAAATGGTGAGCCAAAGAAACCTCTTTTCTTTACATATTCTGTAACCTCAGGAAATTAGGTATAGCAACAGAAATAGGGCTAATATATGGTCCTGCCCTCCCATTTTATAATTGAGGCCTAAATAACTGTACACAAGTTGTTCCAAATAATTTTCTATCCGACAATCAAGAATCAACCAAACAGCTATGACTCACAACAACTTTCTTTTCTGATGTGTGTCCCTGTCATCTCTTAAAAATGCATACACGGGGCCAGTGTTGTGATGCCAGCATGACATGTGGGAGTGTCGGCTTGAGTCCAGCTGCTCTGCTTCCAACCCAGTTCCCTGCTAATGAGCTTGGGAGGCAGCAGATGATGACCCACGTATTTGAGACCCTGCCACCCAAGTGGAAGACCTGAGTGGAGTTCCTGGCTCCTGGCTTTGGCCTGATCTAGACCTGGCTCTTCTGGTCATTTGGGGAACAAAGCAGCAGATAGAAAAGCTTGCTCTTTTGCTCTGTCACTCTGGCTTTTTTTTTTTTTTTTTGACAGGCAGAGTTAGTGAGAGAGAGAGAGACAGAGAGAAAGGTCTTCCTTCTGTTGGTTCGCTTCCTAAATGGCCACTAAGGCCGGCGCTGCGCCAATCCGAAGCCAGGAGCCAGGTGCCTCTCCTGGTCTCCCATGCAGGTGCAGGGCCCAAGGACCTGGGCCATCCTCCACTGCCCTCCCGGGCCACAGCAGAGAGCTGGACTGGAAGAGGAGCAACCGGGACTAGAACCCAGGGTGCCGGCACCGCAGGCAGAGGATTAGCCTAGTGTGCCGCGGCGCCAGCCCACTCTGGCTTTCAAATAGACACATTTTAAAAAATGCATGTATGTATGCTCATAATAAAATTTATACTATACTGTTTATATTTTTGTATCCTGCCTATATCACTCAATGTATTTTGAGGATTTCCCCCAAAATCTTTGTTATTCACACATTGCTATTCACATATTTAATGACCATATAACATCATTATATGGATAAACCATGATTTATGTAGCCCATTTTCTGTTGCTGGACATTTAGGTTGTTTTGAGTTCTTGTGCTGTTATTAGGAGTAACATTTGCAAGTACATTGTGGGGAGCAACCCGGACTGGACTGAGTTACTGGAATTAAGACTTATTCTATGCATCTGCTCTCCCACAATATGGCGCTGGGAGAGGAGGCAACAGCTTCTACCCAGCTGCCTCTCACCAACTTGACAAGCTGCAGGACCTGCTCCTGATTGGAGGAGAGCAGCGTGCTCGGCATGTGGGCAGCCGAGTTAGGATTGGCGGAGGAGGACTATAAAGGAGGAGAGAGACGGCATGCACCAGGAACATCTAAGAGGAACATCTAAAGGGAACATCTGAAGGAACACCTGTGCAGCCCCCGAGAGAGCCGGCCGGCGGTGTGCCGCTCCCCCGCGGAAGTGGGGAAGGTGGCAGGGGGAACCGCCCTTCCACGGAGGTGGAAGGGACAGTAGCCAACCCGGGAAGAACCAGCAGCAAACCCGGGGAGGGCCGAGCAGACAAAAGAACAGCGCAGGGTCCTGTGTCGTTCCTCCACGAAGACGGGGAGCGACATAATGGTGCCGTGACTCGGATATGAAGCCTAGGCAGGGCTTAGTGTCGTTCCTCCATGAAGAGGGGGAGCGACATAATGGTGCCGTGACTCGGATATGAAGCCTAGGCAGGGTTTAGTGTCGTTCCTCCATGAAGAGAGGGAGCGACAGTACATGATAGGGGTTACTCCATGGTTATTTCTTAGGGGAGGAATTATTTGCTTGATCAACGGGGTGGATGTATCTAAGGCTTCTAATGTATGTTGCCAAGTTGATGAATCCAGAAACATCATGCAGATTTGGCAAAATCACTGTTTCGGAACTTTTCTGAAATCAGCAATGTTAGACCTAACAGATCACTTTCTCCAGGTAACTTGGAGTTCCAATTTGCTCTAGTTTTAATGTAATCCTAACATAAAAATGCTATAACATACTAATAATTACAATACAACAAATTAGTTTGAGAAGCCAAGAGGTCTTATCCTCAAATTTTAAATGAATCTTATTAAGAGCTAATGGGGAAACATAGGTCTAAATAATGAAGGATAAAAATTTAAAATGTTGGGGCACACGTGTGATCTAGAGGTTACGACACATCCCGGGGCTAGCGCTTTGGCTCAGTGGGTTAACCCCCTGGCCTCAATCCCATATGGGTGCCAGTTGGAGACCTGGCTGCTCCACTTCCCAGCCAGCTCTCTGCTATGGCCTGGGAAAGCAGTAGAAGATGGCCCGAGTCTTTGGGCCCCTGCACCCATGTGGGAGACCCGGAAGAAGCTTCTGGTTTCTGGTTTCGGATCAGCGCTGCTCCAACTGTTGCGATTAACTGGGGAGTGAACAAGCGGATGGAGGACCTCTCTCTCTCTCTCTCTCTGCCTCTCCTTCTCTGTGTAACTCTGACTTTCAAATGAATGAATGAATGAATGAATGACACATCCCAGATCTGCTTCCCCGGGCTTGGGTCCTCACTTTGCTCCATATCCCAATTTCCTGTTAATGTGCACCCTGGGAAACAGCAGCTGCTGGTTGAAGTACTCGGGTCTCTGCCACTCACCTGTGAGACCCAGATTGAGTTCTGGCTTCCAGATTCAGGTTGTGGGCGTGTGAAGGGTGAACCAGAAAATGGGTACACCTCTCTCTTTCTAATTAACTTTTTAAAAGCAAGAAGTAAAAAGAGGGGGGAAAAAGTCCAAGAGTTTTCCTGTAGAGGTCACTGTTTCCGTCAGTTCGTGCCTGCAGCTGTATTAAAATCTAGCATTTAAGAAGAACGGGTACACAAGCATTTTTAATGCCTGGTTCGTCTACATTTCTTTATCTGTAAAATAAATAGGACCTGGCAGCCAGACAGCATCCGGATGCCAAGTTCCTTATACAATGGCACGCACCACTCCACTCAGTGTGCTTCTGGGTTAAATACATGCTACTCACAGGAAAGGCACTTACACCTGCTCTTAAGAGAGGCAGCATTAGCTGACCGCCTAAGGCCGTGGAGTGTTTACACAGCACATGCTAACTTGCTCACCGATGAGACAACAGGATGCCTTCCCTCCACCTTCTCCCTTCTTGTGCCTCCGAATTCATGCAGGTGAAAACCAGACGTTGTAATCAGCATTCTATTGTGCCTGCCGTCTCGACTCACAGGAGGTGCTTTCAATTTTTTAAAAGTTTTTAATTAAGGCTGCTCAAACACGAGCCCCACGTCCTGGGGGCCGGGCCAAAGTGGCTGGGCGGGCCCACCTGCGGGCCGAAGGGCACTAGCCAGGTGCTGCCAGACGCGCCAGCCCTTTCGACAAAGCACACGTGTTTCCCATCATAAAATGCAAAGCAGCCAGCGTCTTCCATTCCCCCATCCTTAGGCCCCCTCATCCGGTGGGGTAGGAAGGGCCGATGGGGTTTTCCCTCCTCTCCCGCTCCTTTATAAATGAGCCCAGCCGCTGCTGACTCCTCAAGCGCATAGCCAGCGCGCTCCCGCCCAGTCGCACTTTTTGCGCAGGAGACCAAGTGGCCTGGGGCGTCCAGGTAGGCGAAAGAACCCCGATCTTGAGGCCAGCCAGCGCGGGCTGGTAACAGACCCCTTGGCAGGCAGCCCACACCGCGCCGGGACGCCGCAGCCAGAGACGCAGGTGTGGGGGACTTGGCTCCGCGTCCCTAGCTCGCTGCCCGCCCCTAGGCGCCTGGGGTGCCCCGAGAGCCAACTCGGGCAGACGCCAGGGCTGCAGGTTCGAGTCGCCCCGCCTCCTCCTGCAGCTGAGCGCCACACGCACCAGCCAGAGCCCTTCCGCTCCGTCTTAGTCTGCGGTCACAGCTGAGGTTTTCAGAACTTTGCAGGCAGGTCCCACACCGCGCCTGCCGCCAGCCCGGGAGATTCCACGCTCCGTCGGACACCGACGCCCCAACTTTCTACAAGCGTCTGTCTCCTGCCCCCGTTTGTGTGCGTTTGGGGGCTCCCGTGCTAAGGGCTGCGCTCAACTTCCCTGGGTGAACCCAGAACCACGGTGCACGGGAGCGTTTCCACCGCAAGGCACTTGCCCCCGCCTCGCAGCCGACCCTCGAGGAGGCGCTGAGCCTGGAAGATCCGAAACCCAAATCGGCCGGGGGCTTTTCTTTCCAGACCCCGGTGCCCGGCGCAGATTGGCCGGGCCGAGGACCGGCGCTTTCGGAGAGGCGTCGCGCCGTCGGGTGTAGCGCGCGTCATGGCCGGCTGCTGCTGCCTGTCCGCGGAGGAGAAGGAGTCCCAGCGCATCAGCGCCGAGATCGAGCGGCAGCTTCGCCGGGACCGGAAGGACGCACGCCGGGAGCTCAAGCTGCTTTTGTTGGGTGAGTGCTTGCGTCCTCCACCTGCTGGGCTCGCCTCCCTGCCCCTTGGTTCGCGGACCTTCGCCGCGCTTGGTGCCCCCGCGTCCGGCAGCGCAGGGCTCTGCTCTCCAGCCCCGGCTCGCGAACGCGTCGTCGGCACTGGTCCTTGGCACCTGTGGGTGGGCCTCTTTAGAAGGCACTTCATTCCCTTATCTCAAAACAGGGCCGGGGACGTTAACCCTTGACCTCTTGGCTGCACCCCCAGCCTCCCGCATCTGGTCGCCACACCCTCCCCACCCCGGGGCCCCAGCATACAGTTTGTGCAAAACCCCAACTTGGTGAGGTTGGGGTGGGGGGAGGAGCTACCTGGCCCACCGCTTGGGCTCAGCTGCAGCCTTGGCCGAAAGCCTCTGAGTTCTAAACCAAGCCGACCAGGCGCTTCCCCGGTGTGGACCCTGCTGAATCTTAGGGCCATCACCAGCTGGCGATGCAGGCAGGCAATGGACTGCTTGAAGAGAATGAGAAACGTAGGGCTGGAAGACTGGTGGCTTGGCGCTGGTTGGGAAAAAGCAAAGCTAATGGTAGGTTTAGTCGCTGGAGTGGAGGCCGTGCCCTTGGCCTCTGCTCTGACTGCCCTCCTCCACCTGACTCCAAGGGGGCTTCTGGCCAGAGGATTACAGGCAGATGGCACCTGCTCGCCGAGCTCGACAAGCGAGGGCTCCGTCCCAGGGTCGCCGTTGCCACCCCCGTACTCCCTGCTTGTTCATCAGACTCCTGGGCTCTGTAAAGGTTGAGCTGGGGCACCCACTTCCCAAAGCAGAAAGGGCCTCGGTTCGGGTCTGCCCCGTCTGGCTTTCTGAAGGAAGCAGCTCAGGGCGTGGGCTATGAGGAATGTCTACCTTTTCCCGTCTTACAGGCCAAGGTCTCTGTCGATCTTTAAACAAGCACAGATATAATATAACCTTTTATATACTATATATATATAGCACAGGTGCATATAACCTTTTTATTCCACCTCTGACAGGAATCTTCTGACACCTTGCCTTTAATGTGAGCATGAGGACTCGCCTCTCAAACCTTCTAGAAAAGTCAATCTGGTTAGTGGGAAATAGAGAGAGGTTTTCAGTCCATATTGACTTAAGAGTGGGGGCATGAGGACCCCCTAGTGCCTGTTGCCCTGGGTGCAGGGACCTGGTCTGGCCTTCCCCAGGCTGTAACCCTTCGCTTTCAGGGTTGGGAGTCTGCAGGTTCCAGGGGCTGGCCATCCAGAGTACACTCTGTCCCTTCTCCCCCAAGACTGGATTGAATTCCATGCCTAGAGGGCTCCAAGCCTGCTGTTAGGGCTGGGGCTGGTGTAGAGGGAAGAGCCCAAAGGGACAGTTGCATTCTGGGGCTGTGGATGAGCTGGCAAAGGTGGGTGGGAGCTCGGGTTCTCACAGGTGCACCCACGAAGCCCTCTGAGAGGGTACCTGGTTTGGGATCTGGCCATTGGCCAAGGCTGCCCTTCCCTGCCTGCCCAGGGGTCTGAGGGTTTGGAATTGTACCAAGCCTTCTAGGCCATGACAAAGCTGCATTGTCAAAGGAGGATTGTGTGACAGTGTGCTGGCTTAATGAAGGCTCTCAGAATGCAGGTCTGCCCTTGTACCCTTGCTTGTCCCGGGTCCCCTCAACGTTCGGGGCAAGCCTGGCTTTGTTGCAGATTTTTGGTTCTCAAGGGTAGGCCAAGCCTTATTTTACTTTATTCACTGATATAACTGAGTGTTTCAAAGTACAGTGTCCAGAATATGTCTGGAGCTTGACAAATGCTAGCTCTTTGTATGAACAACTAGGCAGAAGCTGAGCACTACTGCACTGGCGGTAGGCCTATTCATTGGCTGTAAAGTGCTTGGATTTAGACCCAGACTGAAGGAGGAATGTTGGTAGGTAACTTGCTTGCTCTGAAAGTTAGGGTTAATCCAGGGGACTTGCTCATTTCCCCCAGGCCCTTGCCCCAGCACTCCTCCTACTCCACCCCCCACCCCCCAGGCGCTGCCTGACCTCCCAGGACCCTCATTGTCTTGTCATGCCCATCAGAGACTAACAGGCATGACACAGGGACAACTTTGCTTTTAAAAATGCAGTTTCCAAACCACGTGGACGTCTTCAGAACCTCAAGGATTGACTTAAAACCCTCTGATTTCTTTCAGTCTCCTGAGAAGTGGGACATGGTCCCATTTCTTAGGATAAAGGACTAGGCGGTGACTCAGAAGCTACAGTAACAGGGAGGGGTATCTGAAGTTGTCGGAAGTTGTACAGTTTTACTGAAAATGTTACCGAGCCTCCATAGTAAGCGATGATCTCGTCCACTGCTCAATGTTTCAGGTGAAAACTCCACTTTGCAAATGAGAGTTCAGATCCTGTAAGGAGCAGCAAATGATCCCCAAAACCACTAACCTGTAAAAAAGAGGCAGAGCAAGCAAGCATGCCCTTCTCGGGTTCACTCGCCGAATGCCTGCAGTGGCTGGTGCTGGGCTAAGAACAAAGCCAGGACCTGAGAACTCATCCAGGTCTCCCACATGATTAACAGGGACCCAGTCAGTTGAGCCATCACTGCTGCCTCCCAGGGTCTGCATTACCAGGAAACCAGAGTCAAGAACCAGAGCCTGGAATCGAATCGATTATCTTTTTTTTTTAACCACCAATTATTTTACAGCAAAGTGTGCTTTTGCAATAAGGATGAGAATATTTCTGAAGTGCCTTTGGTGGAACGGTATCTTGTTTGTGCTTTATAAAAGCATGGGTTAGTATCCAGAGGGAAGAGAGAAGCTGTTGTCTGGTTAAGGCTAATCATTGCAAGATGTCAGAAGGGGATAAGGAAAATGAGACATGCCTTATCAGTTCCTTGGAGAAAAGTTAGACAAAAAGGAGTCCTGATAGGAACACTGATGGGTACTAATCGGTACCAGATAAAAGAATCGAGACAACAGCAAATAAGCGAGCTCTCATTGATGTTCGTGCTAAACGAAGCTTGGTGGAGTGTTGGTGGTTAATTGGGTTGTAGATGGCTTAACTTCAGATGCAGATTTCACCTTGGACCTCTCGAACAAAAGGCATTGGTTTCAAGTCTCCTGGTTGTATTAGTTTAGTAGGACTGCCAGAACAAAATACCACGCACAGTGTGGCTTGACAGAAACAAAGTTTTCAGTTCAGGAGGCTGGAAGTCCAAGATGCAGGTGCTGTTGGGTTTGTTTTTGAGGCCTTTTTCCTTGGCCTGCAGCCGGCTGCTTTGCTCTGTAGCTGTATATTGTTGGTGTTGATTCCTCTTGTAAAGACACCACTTCTATTGGGTTAGGGCCTTACTCTTAGGGCCTTATTTTGGCTTCATCAGCTCTTTAAAGATCTTTATCTCTAGTCACATTCTATGTTACTGGGTGCCAGGGGCCTTCAACGTATGGATTGGGGTGGGAGGGCATAATTCAACCCATAGCATATTGTCTTCAGTATTTTGTTTTAGCAAAAAAGACTGAGCGGGTAATGTATAACCAAGACAGGTTGATTGAGGTCATGGTTCTAGAGACATGAAAATCAGTGAGCACAGTGCTGGCATCTGGTAAGGGCTGCGGCTGTATGGTAACATAGTAGAGGCATTGCATGGTGAGACAGGGCAAGTGTACCAGAGAACTAGCTTTTTTCCCCAATAACCTAGTAAACTATTAGTCAATGAACTATTAAACTATTGATGCATGAATGGATGAAACAGATAAGGGCATAACCGTCATGACCCGATCACTTCCCAAAGGTTCTATTCACATGAATTTGGCGATTAAGTTTTGAACATGAAATCTCAGGAGCACATTCAAAACCTAGAATTGGTGTGTTAAAAATGTAGATCCTAGACCACACTACCTGATGTCCAACCCTGGCTCTGCTGTTGCTTAGCTGTGGACTAACTTGTCTGGGCTTTTCTGGCGGTGAGTACTAGGTGTCAGCCGTCATGTCTTCATTTTTGAGCATTTTTGGGGAGATGTCACTTCCCACAGCAGGTTGCATGGTAGTTGGTCTAAACTGTCTTGGCAGTGTTTTAATAGAAATGTTTTGCTTTGAGTTTCCCTTAGGCTGTTCTGAGTCATAAACTGATTCTAAGTTCTCTCCCCCTTAAACCAAAGACCTGAAAATCTTACTGGTCTCCCATATGGGTGCAGACACCCAAGCACTTGGACCATCTGCTGCTGCCTTCCCAGGTGCATTAGGGAGCTTGATTAGAAGCAAATCTGCAACTGAAACTGGACCTGTGATAGGGAATGCCAGCATGGTAGGCAGTGGCTTAACCTGCTGTGCCACAACACCAGTCTCTCCAAATAAACTTTACTGAGGTACAACTTATACTAAAATTCATCAGTCTGAAGTGTGTATGTTAGATGTTTAGACAAACGTGCACAGACAGAATCATGATAACGTTTCCATCATTCCCAGAAGTTCCCTGTGCCTCTTTGGTCAATCTTCTCCCCAAATCTTCAACTATTAGAAACAGTTTGAAATATGTGACTTTTACTATTTTTCTTGAAAATTAACATAAGTGTATACTCTTCCCAGTTGACCCATTGTTGAATTGTTATCCCGTTTTCCTCATTTGCATGCTGCCTTCAGTTTCTCCCAAATGTTTGAGGGTAAATTACATACCCTGTGGCATTTACCCAAAAATACTGAGTGTGATGTTCCCCCCCAAAAAATAGGGATAATCCTTTACATAAGCACAGTCCACTTAGGAAGCTTTTTTGGGAAATTTAGGTATTGATACAATACTTACGTCCATTATATCCCAGGCTTGTCAGTTACTTGTATGTCCTTAGTGACATATCACCACTTCCAGTCCAGTGTGGACTTGGAGATTGTTTTTTGGTTCTTGTATTTTTTGTGTCCTTAATCGAACATTTTCATGGGCTTTCATGCTATTGGCCTTAACACCATGCTCCAGGCTCATCTTGTACCCAACCTTTCCCAGCCAGGGAATCAACTGTTTATCTGAGGGGCTCTGGAGAACT